CCCCAGTGGTCAGGTGTAGGACTTACAACTTTTGCGTAATGTAATGTGTTGCTCGTCTCGGTCCAGAGATTACACTCAGCAATTTTCGGGCCGATCCGAGCACTAGTGCCTTATTACTTTCCGACAGGTGGCGCTAAAGAGCTCATATTGGGCGAATGATTTTAGTGTCACTGCGTTCAGGCCATAACCTAATATTACTGATGTGAGTCTCAGCTCTGTAGGTCTGAGCCTGTGGCCCTCAGGGCTCAGCGAAAACGGCCAAAACGAAGGCCTTATTCGCCATGGCGAGGGACGAAGACGGTGAAGAATTTCTAACTTTTTTTTCAATGATTATATAACTTCAATCCATCCAGATTAGGAAATGACGTGGTAGAACTCTGTGTGATGAAATACCAGGGACTAGTTCGAAGTTATAAATGAAAAGTCAAATTAGCGGCGAAACTTCAGACCATCATGGCCGACTTCCTGTTGGTCCCAGAGTGAGGCCCAGAGAGAGTTTTATCCCCAATACGTATTGGGGAGGCCTATTTGTAATTGAATGAAGTGTTTTTTCTTAATTTAAGCACATTCTTATTAAACTATTACTACTTTCACTCATGAATATTCCGGACCAGAATGAGGCGAGAGCACAGACAGAAAGTACTACATTCAGTTGTGTTGTGGTTGTGTTGCTGTTGTGTTGCTGTTGTGTTGTGGTTGTGGTGACATACTGCTGTATCTCAGACCTATGTGGTTTTTCTTCTGCTTCCCTTCTGTCAAACAGCCTCGTGCACGTCTCTGTGTCTGTTTCTGTCGGACTCATGGCTCGACCTCTGCTGCTCCTCTGCTGCTTACGTGAGTTTTTATTTTAACATCATTTCAAACCTTCCTGTATTTGTGTTATTGTTAATGTCTCTCTTTGTAATGTACTGAGATTGCACCATGAGCTGGAGCTGGTCCTCGGACCTCAGGGCGCAGGGCGGGGGTGGTAGATTTGAGTGAGGTCCGAGACGTGCTGTGGGGCCAGTCCTTTCAAAGCTTTAAAAACAAACAATAAAATATTAAAATCTATAACAAAGCAAAGGAAGGTTTCTCACCCATCATCTGTACTTCTTAGCAAGTTTTCCCAACGTTTCGTCCTCAACCTGGGGACTTCTTCAGGGAAATCATTGATCATGATCATGATCAAATCATGATGATGGGTGAGAAACCTTCCTTTGCTTTGACTAATCCCTGTACGACTGAGGGCTTACACAAACTTAAAATCTATAATAATATTAACAAATAAGCTTTTTTATCAGTACATGTCAATGCTGGACCTAGTTAATTTCTTGGCTGATTATGTGGTTTTTCTTGAGTAGAATTCCACCTCTGGACTATCTCCCAATCCTCATAGCACCATAAAAAATCAAAAGTCCTCCACCTGGGAGCTGCCTCAGTCATGCTTCATGTCAGTCCTGCATTCTCAGTTGTTTTTAAAGCAGGAGGGTCTGACAAAAAGGACATTGGTGATGATCCAGGACACTCTACATTTGCAGACATTGGTCATCTTCATTATTATTTTTTTTGGCAAATTCAACGGTTGTGTGATGTCCTTTGAGACCAATCCTATACCCTAACCCAGGTATGTCCAAACCCAGGCCCGGGGGCTAAATGCGGCCCTCAGTGTCATTGTACGTGGCCCTCTGCCTTGCTAACCCAAAATAGTCTTTGAGATCATAAACACAAGTTCACTGTGTCATCCATCCAACTTCAGCTCAGCCAATATAGACTTCGTTCTAAAGCCCAGTTTGTCATTGACTGTATTTGCACAAAATCTACTGACATGGTTTTTTATTGAGTCATTTTCATTTATGTTGCTAATGTAAACATGTGTCATTCAGCCAACTTCAGCCCTGTTATAGATCATCATAAAGCTCAGAACAGCCCAATGTCAGTCAAGACAGTTTTCCAGTCCATGATGTCGTCCCCTGGACTGGTCTGGTGAACTAAAGTGTCCCTCTAACTGAAAAGTTTGGACACCCCTGCCCTAAAAGTCAAAGTCAAGGCCCACGAATGACTTATCTTGGCCTCTGGATGATGTTTGATTAATATTTGAACTAACCACACCGACCCATACAAAGATATTGGATTATTCATTTAATCATTAAATAAAATACTGTGTTAGGTCTTGGTTCAATAGATTATATGCAATTGTTTGACTATGTTTTAATAAACATCCATCCATTTTCTACCCTTTAATCCATTTCTGGGTCAGGGGGGTGGCAATCAGAGATGCCACCCAAGTCTCATAGCACCAGCCCCTCACTGACCCTCTGCAGGTGGTGAGTCCACAGGAGGACGGCTGCTCTCTGAGTGTGAGCATAGCCTTGATCTTTCAGTGGGGGCTTTGGGCAAAGTGGGGTCAAGTGTCTTGCCCAAGGACACAACGACAGCAGTCATCAGTGGGAGTTGGTGGAGAAGGTGCAGAGGTGGGAATTGAACCCACGACCTTCTGGCCTTAAGGCCAATGCTCTACCAACTGAGTTACTGTCGTTAATAAACATATTAAAACAATTGCTTGTAGCAAATCTAATGTCTTTGACTTTGACATACCTGGTCCAACCCTCTATAAGAAGTGTTGAAGAAATGAATTGACCTCGAAATGTATGTCTTCCGTGTGTGTGTTTGCTGCTATAACAAGGATTAATAAACGTCACCGTGTTTTATTCCAAACAGATGCAATTGTTGAAGTCACAGCTCGAGGTAAATATGTTCTTTACATTGACTTTGTCTTATCAATTTGTATTTTTCACAATTGTTTTCTTTTAGAAGCAAAACCAGAGATAAATCTGACTAAATTAGACAAGGATGTTTTTGTGACCTGCACACTGCCTTCTTCACCTTCATCTGAGTCCAAATGTCACCTGTATTTTGGAGAATCCACACAGTCGTATTCAACCAAAACATCACGGTCCAGGAACAGTAAAGGACCATGGTTTTGCATGTTTTCTGTTCCTGATGAGGAGTTTTTGACACATCTCCATAAAGTCCAGAGTGAAGTCCTCAGATGTGGCTCCTCTCAGGATCCTCACAGTGAACCGTACGACTTGGCTGGTAACATTAGAAACACATGGATACAGCAATAAAGAATGTGTATTTAACTTTAATGACATGTTTTGCTTTGAAGGATTCATGAGAAAATATTTCCCACTTCAAACCGACACCACAACAGTGAAGACCCCAGACCTGCACCATGAGACCACAGACTCAGCGAAGACCACAGACCTGCAGCATGAGACCAGAGACTCGGTGAGGACCCCAGACTCAGTGAAGACCCCAGACCTGCAGCATGAAGCAGGAAGTGACGCAGAGATCCTCAAACCTGGTGAAGTATAGACACGTTCACAGTAACGGGAGGAGAGCTTCACACAGCGTGGAACTCCTTTGAATCTACATGTGTCTGAGTCTCTATTGTTTTGCAGGTTCAGACTCAGAGAAGACCCCAGACTCGGGGAAGACCACAGACCTGAAGAATGAAGCAGGAAGTGATGCAGAGTTCTTCAAACCTGGTGAAGCAAAAAGACATGTTCAGACTCAATATGCAGGTTTTTAGGATAAATTGATGATTGTTGCAGTTACGTTCACACATCTTCATGAGACATCTGACTCATCTTATATTCAAATGTGCATTGATTGATGAGAAAGATCTCTTCTAGAGCAGCGATGTTTTGGAGATATCGCTGGCAAACGCAGACTTTCACCTCCCCCCACAGAGGGCAATGCTTGGTTGCCCGGGTGATGTGTGATTGTCATGTTGAAAGACCCAGCCACATTTTGTCCTCATTCATTCTCTTCTTTACACTATCGTCCTGGTTTTTCTCATTTTGTCTCTCATAGTAGAGGTTTTTCTATGATGGATATGATCTATTACCATTACATATCCTCCTGTGGACTCCACCTGCAGGAGGATCATTGAGGGGCTGGAGCTCTATGAATTGGGTGGTAGCTGATTCCCACCCATTTGACCCAGAAATGGACAATGGGGAAGAAAATGGATTGATGATTATTTATTTATTACAGGGACAGTGCATATTAATGAACATTTATGTAAATATGCCAGAATTAGCCAAGCTGCTATTTTTTATCCATAGTCCCATGTCTCCTGAAAGATAAAAACATGTTTGCTACACAGACAGTTAAAATAATGTGATCTATTTACAATATTTACAAGGACAAGACATGAAAACGTTCAGTCACACATCATTCAACAAACGATACACAATCATAAGGAGACACACACAGAACACAAACAGGTGTACACAGAACAAGCGGCCAGCAGGGGGCAGCGAGAGCAGGCGGAGTCAGTGCTGACAGGTTTGGTTATGATGAGCCAGCGTTATAACTGTGGTTTGTATGTGAGGTAAGAGGGTGCATTTCTGATAGTTGTGGGTAGGAGGTTCCAATCTGAGGTGGCACGGACGGAGAATGAAGACCAAATGTGCTTTTCTTAAGGGGGGTGATACAGCCCCCTCTTGGTGTGGGTGTTGTTTCTGATATAGATGAATTGACCTCTCAGTCAGAACCACACAGCACCCACACCTGTTTACAGGCATCTCTCGTCTTTTTAAGTGGGAGAACTTGACAAATGGTGTCTGACTAATTATGTTTTTGCCATGCTGTATACTGTCACAGTGGTACCCACCTGGTTCCTGGTCGTGCTGGTGTCCTGTGGTCTGGTGACGGGCACTGTCCTGACAGTTCTGGGCTTTCTCTGCTCATCAAAAATCAAAGGTGAAAAACATTCTTGTCTTCTCTGTAACAATCTCCGGACAAAACTGATAGAAAAAGTATTTTCTTTCTTCAGGTGATGTCTCTGTGTAAGTGTTCTGAGAAATTTAGTTGATCTATTTGACTTTGGACTAAAATTATAATAATTATTATTATTATTTTCCTGCAAGCTCACAAGTCACTGGTCCAGGTATAGACTTTATTCTTACTTTCAGTTCCATTTATAAACCTAATCATGTAAAGTTGTTGATTTCTGACAGATTTGGAGCTCCATAGTGATGGTTATGAGGAACCAGATGCTTCAGGAATATACACGGTTTTGGTACGGTAACAGATAAAAGTTGTCTTAAAAAAATATATTTTGTGTTTTAAATTAGTAGTATGAGCCTCAACTTTTCAGCGCCATTCTAAATTTCAAAATATGATTTTAAAACCAGATTTAAGAAGAAAAGTGTAAAACGGTTCCAAACAGTTTAATGGTTTTTTTATTTCTTACTTTTGTCTTCTTTTGATTATAGAATCAAAGAAGTGATGTGTATGAAACAATCCCTGAGAAGCCGACTACAACCTTCACAAAGGACATCAACGAAAGAACTGTTCGAAAGCAACCAATGGAAGTTTCTTTTATCTAACATTTGGTCAAAATAACATTATTGTGTGCGAGTTGCAACATGAATGTTATATTTTCTCTGATTTCTTTGTGTGATGCCATTTTTATTATCTTTGAAATTGTTCACATTGTGTCGTTACAACTTCATGGATTGAATTTTGTAAAACGCAATTTAATAATGGTGAACTGGACATGAGAAATAATCTGATCTTGATCTAATCTAATCTTGAACTGAGCAGAGCGGCCAGTGGCAGCCGCGGCAGGGCGGCCAGCAGCAGTGGCAGCAGAACCAGAACGTCCCGCAGGAGTGGCAACAAAACCACAACCGAGAGCCGGACCAGTACCAGCAGCAACACCATTGGCACCAGGCACAACAGAGTCAACACGGACAACAGCACCGCTATGAAGGCTCACAACACGGCAACCACCAGATGCGCCACGAGGCGGACTGACTAGGCGGGGACAGACAGCGGGCTGGCGGTGAACACAGGGGAGCCACGAAGGAAACCGTACGGGAGACTCATCTACCGGGTAACGCACACATACACGTCACCGAAGCGATCACTCATCTTTCACGTAAGTTTGAACCAACTGCAATCGGCACGTACACATTTTTTGAGAAAATTCATGCTAAATTTCCGGAACATACGCTAACAATCTGTGGCGAAAATGTTACTTTTCTAGTTGATTCCGGGGCAACAAATTCTGTGCTAAAAAGTGACAGCCTTTCTGTCTCCCCTAAAATGAGTGGCCGCTTCACATTCTCATTAGCAGCGTCGGGAGAGACGACTAAAGAGCAATTTACGTCACCGCTAACGTGTTTTGATTCTCAGGGCAACCAGCTTAAACATTCGTTTCTATATTCCCCATTGTGCCCGGTTAATCTACTAGGCCGAGACCTTATGTGCAGACTCAATTTAAATCTGCTCTCAACACCAAGCGGCCTACGGGTGGTACACGCTAGTGACCTAACAAATGCTCCATGTTTCACCGGCATGCACAAGGAGGCACCGGTCCCAAAAGTTAACTACCACTGGAAATTGACACCAAACCCTGAGATTGCTAAGTTATTAGCCACAACAGTGGATAGAGTGACGCCCGCACAAAATTTGGAGGTCAACCACGCGAACGACCTAAGCTGCTCTCTCCGGTCGTTCCCAGACAATAACTTAGAGTTTAAAAATTCATGGCTCCAGTGTAGTAAAGATAGGCTACAAACGGAGTATGTTTATTGGGATAGGCACTACACTATGGTATCTGTGTTACTTAATGAGCAACAAAAACACTTTATCGACCCACTATATCCCACTTTGCACATAGCTTTGTCCAAACCCACGACTGCAGCGTGGAGTGAGGTCTCTGTCCTTATTGATAAGTGTAGCAATGCTGGGGACTGGACACAGGTCCAAGATGAGGACACGTGGTTCTCTGAAAATGCTAACGCATGGAGAAGCCCTTTTAAGTCTTCTCTCGCAGCAAGCCGACATGTGTGTTTTGATCATGACAGCATGACTTCAGTCCCACGGGGGACAGAGCTCATGCTGTCAGCAGCGGATGCAGAGGCCACGCCTGCACTTCGCGCGGTCCCAGAGGGACTGTGGGCAAAAGGTCCAACCGACGTGGGCCTCATAAAAAATTGTGAGCCGGTTATAATTGTGCCTAAATCTGATTTCCGTCCGTGCAGGAAGCAGTATCCTTTGCGTGAGGAGGCTATCAAGGGAATTACACCAGTCTTCGAAGCGCTACGGGAGAATGGTGTAGTCGTCCCTTGCAAGTCCGGGGGTGTTTGCAGCCCTATCCTCCCAGTAAAAAAACACACTGAACCAGGAGCGCCTGAAAAGTGGCGGTTTACGAATGATCTTAAAGCTGTAAATGATGCTGTGGCTCCCATGGTGGCAGTGGTACCAAATCCATACACGATCCTGAGTCAGGTTCCGCCTGAAGCTAAATTTTTCTCTGTTGTTGATTTGGCTAATGCGTTTTTCTCTGTTCCAGTGCACGGAGATTCCCAATTCTGGTTCGCGTTTTCGTTTGATGGGCGCATATATAATTTCACCCGCCTCTGCCAGGGTTTCCGCGATGCACCCACAATATTCAATGCGGCCTTACGTGAATCCTTGGCCCTGTTGGTTCTGTCGCCAGGCACGGCGCTCCTCCAGTACGTAGACGACCTCTTACTCTGTGCTTTGGACGAGAAAACATGCGAAACCGACACTGTGACCTTACTTCAGCATCTGCATGCAGAAGGTCACAGAGCCAGTTTGTCCAAATTACAGTTTGTAAAGAAGGAAGTTGTCTTCCTTGGCCACGTGATTTCTGAACACGGCAAAAGCCTTTCCACCAACAGAGTGGCGGCAATCCAAAACCTTCCAAAACCCCAGACAAAAAAACAATTAATGTCATTCTTAGGGATGTGCTCCTACTGTCGACAGTTTATTCCCAACTATTCAGTAATGGAAACTCCGCTCGGTGCACTCATACATGGGAAGGGTCTGCGCACATGTGACAGGATCACATGGACCCCAGAAGCTGAAAAATCTTTCTGTGATCTGAAAATTGCCCTACAAAGCCCGCCCACACTAGGTCTCCCTGACCCCACCCGCCCATTCACTCAGACTGTGGATGAGCGGTGTGGGTGCATGGTGTCGGTACTTTTGCAGTCTCACGGAGGGCCACTGAGACCCACTGCTTACTTCTCAGCAAAACTCGATCCCGTGGCAGCAGGGTTGCCTCGCTGCCTGCGGGCTGTGGCTGCCGCTGAGAAAGCGGTCCTAGCATCACGTGACCTTGTGGGATACACTGAACTAACTTTGCTTGTGCCTCATGCTGTTTCCCTGATCCTGCTAGAGCAGAAAACCTCTCACCTTTCTGCGGCTCGCTGGCTGAAATACAACACGGTGCTCCTTGAACTCCCCAATGTCACGGTGAAGAGATGCACACAGCTGAACCCCTCCTCACTGCTGCCCACGCCAGAGGAAGGGGAGGCACACTGCTGTATCGCCACAATAGAACAGATATGCACTCCCAGGCCAGACCTGAAAGAGGTGCCTCTGACTAATCCTGACTTGATTTTTTATACAGATGGATCAGCATCACGTGACAACACTGGGAAGAACCGAGTCGGCTATGCTGTGTGTTCTGATTTTGATACTATAGACTCTGGTAGTTTGCCCCACCACCATTCAGCACAAACCGCTGAACTGGTCGCGCTCACCAGGGCTTGTGAGCTGGCAGCGGGCAAAACTGTTAACATATTCTGTGATACGCGCTATGGTTTCTCTGTGGTGCACGACTGGGGGGCACTGTGGACACACCGCAATTTCATGAAATCTGATGGTAAACCAATTCTTAATTCCACACAGGTTGAACATCTGCTGAAAGCTGTAATGTTGCCCTTAGAGATCGCTGTATGCAAATGCCAGGCCCACACTAATGCCACTGATCCCATCTCTGCAGGGAATCGGCGCGCGGACAAGGCAGCGAAGGCAGCGGCATACTCACCTCTACCCACACACACACACTACCTCACTCAAGACGTTGATATTTTCTCCTCTCTGTCAGCAATGCAGGCACTGGCTACTCCAGCAGAGACGGTGCTGTGGGAGGGAAATGGGGCTCAACGACGGCATGGTGTGTGGCTGGGACCAGACCTCAAACCGTGCTTACCACGGCATTTCTTCAGACATTTTGCGATTTTAGCACATGGTCGAGACCATGCCTCAAAAGGAGGGATGTGTAATTTAATTACACAAAATTGGTATACGAAGGGGTTTACGGCATTTGCACAGAGATTCTGCCAAACATGCGCTATCTGCCTCGCGCACAACCCAGGTAAGTCCCAAATTATCCAACAGGCTGCCCATCCTCCGCCCCTGCGCCCATTTCAACATGTCCAAATGGACTTTGTTGAACTCACACCATGCCAAGGTAAGAAATACTGTCTGGTTCTGGTGGATCTCTGGTCCAAATGGACTGAAGTATTTGCATGCAAACACGCCACGAGCAACGCGGTGGTGAAAGCTCTGCTCACAGAAATTGTGCCACGATGGGGTGTCCCGGAAAAAATCTCTAGTGACAATGGCAGTCACTTTGTAGCAAAAGTCATTGAGGAAGTAGGTGAATTTCTGGGCATTGATATACGTAAACATTGCAGTTACGCCCCCTGGAGCGGAGGCGCGTGCGAGCGAGAGAATGGCACTCTGAAAAACAAACTTGCTAAAATCTGCGAACAGACAGACCTGTCTTGGATCAAAGCTCTGCCGCTAGCCCTCATGTACATGCGGATGAGAGTCAGGTCAAGGTCAAACCTAAGCCCATTCGAAATCCTCGTGGCCAGACCACCCAACTTGGGCGCGGGACCCCCGACCAGAGATTTGCCAAGCACCTCTTTGTGTGATGACGACATGCTGTCCTATTGTAAGGAAATTAATGCACTTTTGTCCTCTATTTCTGCCCAGGTCAGGAGCGCCCTGCCACAGGCTGCGCAGGCGGCTCTGCACAAGATCAAGCCAGGCGACTGGGTCCTGGTGAAGGAAACGAGACGAAAGCATTGGCGGTCCAAGCGCTGGCTCGGCCCATTCCTCGTCCTCCTGGTGACGGACACTGCCGTTAAGGTCGCGGAGAGGACAACTTGGATCCACGCCAACCACTGTCGTGCGGTGCTGCCACTGAGGGCCATAGACGAGGACACCGAGGGCGCGGACGGACCAGGCCCATCCGCGGCTCCCTACGCTGAAGAGGTCGGCCGGCGTGCGACCACCATCGGTGAAGCAGGCCAACAACAACACCCAGAGATTCCCAGCGTTCCCGAGGCGACCCCCCTTTGCCCAACTCCCCAGCCCCCGGACCCCAAGGCCACACCCCAAACCCCGAGCACTCTGCCCAACCGAGTGCTGAGGCCAAGGCTTCAACGCGATTAGAGTCTTGCCGCTCCAAGACCAAACATCGCCATGACCACTAACGCTCCACACACGCTCATAGGGAGCGGTGCCACCGACTGCAAGACGGCACTGTTCGAACCCG